CTACTACTACTACAACTACTACTACTAATAATAATAATAATAATAATAATAATAATAATAATGATAATAATATAATAATAATAATAATAATAATAATAATAATAATAATAATAATAATAATAAACAGTACCATTTTTTTTAAATAGCGTATACGTTTTATGAAAATATCTCAATGCCCTTTAAAAGCTGATGAAATATTATGATGGTAAAAAGTGTTTCTAATTCTAAAAGTAAAGTAAATAAAATTGATGAGCTTTAGTTTAGATTTAAATTGACTGATGATTGCGTATAATATCACTTTATTTAAGCCAAGTAAAAAAAAATAGTTTCTCGTCCTAATATTTTGGAAAAAGGAGAATGAGAGTACTCATTTATTTATTTTTTTTTAAACTATGAAACGAGATGACAAATCCAAGATGGTCGATGGGAAACAGCAACTACTTTCTCACGTTTACCAAGTAAACACATTGAAAGCAAATAAAAGAAGCACAGACATGATTCATATCATATGAATCCCCAATCACGAACGATCGAGAGAGGAATTATTCCTGGTGTGAGTTAGCTAGATTTTCGTAGATTTTGTAAAATAAAGGAAATACTTGTTGTGTATATATATAATATATATAATATTCAAAATTCATAATAAAATAGGATCTATATATTGAAAAAAAACCAATTAAAATATTTAAACATCAAAAAAATACAAAAAAAATCGAAATAACAATAAAAAATTACAACCAATAATTTGAGCAATTGGAAAAATAAAGGGAGGGAAAAATCTCACCTTGTTATGTTATGTTATGTTTTGTATTCCAGGGGGTGGGGCGATTGCTTGCTGCGACATCATCTTACCAAATGGAGATGTGAAAATAGATATTTTATACCTCCATGATCATTCTTATACCAAGACAGTAATACTCTTAAACAAGACAATAAGAGTACATAAGGGCAAACAATTATTAATAACAGTAGGAAAAATGCGACAACCTAATATTTTATTACTTCATAGGCCAATTAATTTGTGTTCCTGTGGCGATTTAAAGTTAGTAGCGTAATGATGGTATATTTCATAATTACAATTTGAAGAATGGCTCGCGACACGACGATGAGAGCGTCGTTTATCACGTTTAGTCCTTGGGGCAAAGTACTTTACCAAAGTTTGCTCGCCCCCGGATTCGTGTAAATAGGTACCTAGAAAGATGTTGTGACATTGAATGTTGTTGGTATGCGTGCGAATAAAAATTATGAAAGTATAAAAAAATTGCAATCCGACTCTTATCCCGCAGAGTAGAACATGTTGCACATTGTGTTGGTTTGTCAGTATGGATCCGGCGTATTGTCTCTTTTATACCCTCGTTTTGCGTGACTCTTAAATTAAATTCAAAGAACAATTTGGGTGCCTCCCATTAGAATCATCTAAACGGAGACCTCGAATAAAAATGATGTACAAACAGCATAATTAGAAGGTAATAGAACCACAAAACATCTAAATGAAAACCAAAACTTTGTGTCTGCAAAGTACAATAATTTATTTTAAAACTTGTTAACAAGTGATTTTTTTTTTGGTTCTTGTTTGGGTGACTGAATATTTCTGATCTTTAGCTTTTTGTTGATTTCAAGTTATTGAAGATACCATGTACCAGAGATTCATGAGTCCGCATTAAGTATAAATACGAAATGTTATTGAGAGAGTCCTTACAAGTCCTAACATTTAGTAGTTGTGCCTATAGCATCACTTTTGTGACACCGACCTAAGTGATCGGAATAAGTCCCAAGAAAAGGGGTTCTGAAAGGCAACTGATTTAAAATAACAGCTTGAGTGCCGGGTAAGGGATGGATGCGAAGCGCAGCCTTGTTTTCATGGAAAATAGTGAAATCGTATTATAAGCGCCACACACTAAAGCTTCCAGTAAAGGGTCTAAGCGCCACGCGTCACGTATTTGACTCACACAGACCCGACGCAACAACAAATCGCGTCGGGCTGCGTCGGCCGACGCTGTCTGAGTTGGCCTTTAGTCTTCGAGTTTTATTTATTTATTTATTTTTTTAGGAATAACGCGGCGTTGTTGGTTATGTCATTGATGTTTATTATTTGAGTTTCCTATCTTCTTTTAGGCATAGGCTACGGGATGTTGGTGATGTCTATGTTTTGCTGCATCTACTATAACGTAATCATCGCATATACACTGCACTACCTCTATTTTTCCTTTACGCGTGTTCTCCCGTGGGCGGATTGCACGCACTATTGGAATACAGATGATTGCATGAATTCTAAAGGTACCAATAGTACTAATTTCACATCGGGACACAGTCGGCCTAGCCAGGAATATTTTGAGTGAGTATTTCTATATTATATCTTTTATATATTAACTTTAAAATTATAATATTGTATTTTCGTTACTAATTAGTAAAGTCGTAAATATTTGTTTAATGTTTTAAAGCCTATATTGTTCATTGTTAATGCAGTGAAACATTATGTTAACATTATTATTGTTATTGTCAATATCAGTCAATTTCTTCTTTATTGTAACTTTGAAGGTCGAAATTTACATACATACATAGACATATATATATATATATATAATAAATATATATGACCTACTATATTATATTTAATTTCCATGTTGTAAAAACGACATGGAATTTGTAAAGTCTCTCAAACTTTCCGTCATGGCTTTATCCTGAGGGCTTTTGTTTTCTCCGGAAGTGATTATTCCTTTGTACCCGCTATAAAAGAAATGAATATTCATAAACCAAATATAGCCTATTTGAAATACTTTTGAAATCATTAAATATTTCAATTCAATTCTGAATTTCATTGATATTTACAGTGTTTTTGAAATAGTTAAATAATACTATAATATTTTTTTTAATGAAGTTATATAGTTATTATGACAATTAAAAGGACTAATAATGACATTTAGATTTTACATTCAATGTATTTGTATATATAGTCATACCCTTCGGGATTGAAGCATACTTACCTGGCACAGGAGAGACTTTGATCAAGAAGGAAGTCCTCCCAAGGCGAGGCCACGGCATTGCACTTAGCTGTGGTTGACCCTTGCGATTCCCCCAAATGTGGGGAACTCGGGTGTAAAATTTATGGTAGCGGGGGACTGCGTTCGCGCTAACCCCCAAATAATTAAATTAAAAAAAAAAAAATAGAAAGTAACACACGAACTAGTTCTGTTGTATTACATGCTTCCAAATCTAAAATGTAGGAAAAATGCATACTGTACAGTATAATTAATGTTAATACTCTTGTTATAAAATTTTGAGGAAGAGAGTGAGAGCTCTCGAAATATTGGTGAAATAAATTATCGTCTCCTGTATTTGCTTTTTATACAATTACTTTTGATATATATATATATAGATATATATATATATACAATATATATATATATATATAATTTATATCCAATTAAAGACCACTTCTGGGACCGGAGTTTTCATGGTCTTTAGCATTTTTGGCCACTAATTAGAATAATAATAACTATTACATTTATTTATTGTTATTCGCATTGTTGTTGTCGTCGTCCTTATTATTTTATTTTTCTATGTTCAGTAATCGTGTGCTAGGGATAAGCGATGGTATAGACGAATTAGGTGAGGTGCGCTGGGAGTTGGCCATCTGCCTTATTCTCGCCTGGACAATGGTTTTTCTCTGCCTGGCAAAGGGAATTAAAACATCGGGAAAGGTAAGAGGTTCTTTACATTATTTATGTGTCTTTAGACTTTAAAAAAAAAATAAGGACTAGTAAATGTTTTGCCCAGGGTCAGTGTTCTTATTTCGTCGCTCACATCACGAACTAACACAATCGAAGTAGATTGTGTTAGTTCGTGAAATCACAGTAGCGTGTCAAAACGAGCGCGTATTGGTTGTCAAGCAATTTTGTATTCTTTACCACACAAAAAGTTCTTAACGACAACAGCGCGTATTTTGACGTGCTTTTTTTTTATTTCAATAACACAATTGAATTTAATTGTGTTAGTTCGTGATGTGAGCGACGATTTGTAGTCGATTTCAGGCTCAATGTTCTTATATTGCTTTTATTGTTACACACTTCAAACATACAAAAGAATTATTATACAACAGTATATTACTGTTCTGTGTTGTAGATGGTATTACATAGTAACACATACTGCAAATATGTTTCTGATAAGATTAGTTGGTTTTCTATTTCTTGGAAAAAAAAATCCTCATTTGACATTTTATCTCAGCCTTAATTAGTTCTTATTTTGTCCTTTATTTTTAAGCGATTTCAGCCTCAGTGCTCTTATAAAATATTTTCTTATAAAGAAAAAGTGTATTTGTTTAGTCGTCCGTTGTGCAATAGGAATCAATGCGGCAGTTGGTAATTATATTGCCTGGCTATTGAGAGCAGTGTGTGATTTATCGTCTTATTAGTAATGTTTACGTTACATACCGTAATACAGCGTTATAGCAGCTTAAGTATTTATAAAGTGGGTCAAAACCTCAATACTTAAGGTACAGCCTACCGCCCATATCAAAGGAGAAAAACAGTATTGGCGTTAAAGGGGTTGAATAAAAAGAAAATCAGGAGGTAGAGACAAGAGCGAAGTCGGCGTAAGGCACACGTCACCTTATTCTGACTGACCTGCAAGTGAAAATTGTGCTTGCATAGCCACAGATGTGGACAAAACGTAAATATTTATATAGTATAATGAAATTCACGGCAGTAACTCGACACTGGGAATCATAATTCTACTGGTCAGTCCTACGTGCCGTGTCCATAGTTATAGTGGCACTTGGACATCCATACTTGACCGGGACGAAATTGACCGATAAAATATTTTATGCGTTTTGGTGTCGACGATCGAATGTACGGGGCGCCGTTTGGGACATTGCTATTATGTGGTACATAATTATTTTTGTAACAACAGAATGCCTATTGAAAGACATAATTAGCAGTGTCCCAAACGGCGCCCCGTAGAATGAGAGTGCGATGTGTTGTTTGACGTGTTATATTGTTAGTTGAAACATGCCGATTAGCTTACATAATTTAATATCGGCTTGTATTTCCAGTCGGTTTACGTCTTGTTTTTAATTTAAAATAAAAATTAATAAACCGTTGATTGAATAAATTGATGAATAAATTGAAAAATCAATGGATAAATGAATTGTTGAATGGATAAATTCATAAACGAATGAATTGTTCAATGAATGGAGAACTGAAATAATAGTTGATTGTGAATTGATGAACGAATGAATTATGAATGAATGATTGAATAAATAAATGAATGATGAATGAATAAATATATAAACGTACAAAAAAAATGAATAAATAAACAAATGAATGAATGAAATAATGCATGAATGAATGAACGAATAAATGAATGATGAATGAATAAATAAGTGAATGAATGAATAAACAAATAAATGAATAAATACATAAATGAACATAAATTAATGAATAAGTGAATTAATTAATACATGAGTGAATCAATGAATTAAAAAATAAATGAATCAATGAATTTAAAAAATGAAGGAATAAAATAAAGAAATTAATGAACAAGTGAATTATAAAATGAATGAACAAATGAATTAAAAAAATGAATGAATAAATGAATGAATGATTGAATTAATTAAAAAATGAATGAATAAATAAATAAATGAACAAATGAATAAATAATTGAACGAACAAATGAATGATGAACAAACAAATGAATAAATGAATGAATAAATGAAAGAAATTAATGAAGATTGATTGATTAATTGATTGACTGATTGATAGATAGATAGACTGACTGACCGAATGAATGAACGAGCAAATGAATAAATGAATGAATGAACGAAAACAAGAATGATGAATGAATAAATAAACGAACAAATGAATGAACGAACGAACGAACGAACAAATGAATGAATGAACGAACAAACAAATGAATGAATGAACGAACAAATGAATGAATGAACAAATGAATGAATGAACAAATGATTGATGAATTAATGAATTAAAGAATGAATGAATGAATGTATGGATGAATGAACGAATAAATGAATGATGAATGAATAAATGAACGAGCAAATGAATGATGAATGAATGAATGAACGAACGAATGAATAAATGAATGAACGAACAAATGAATGAATGAACAAATGAATGATGTATGAATGAGCGAGCGAATGAATAATTAAATGTAAAGAATGTTATAATTTAGTTGTTTTTGTTTGTTTCGTTTTTTTAACAACAGGTGGTTTACCTGACAGCGACGTTTCCATACGTCGTATTGCTGTCTCTTTTCATTCGAGGGTTGACTTTGCCAGGTGCGATTGATGGAATAGCGTTCTACATTGAGCCAGATTGGTCCAAACTTGCCACATCAAAGGTGAATTTATAGTTTACACAGGCTATGCTAATTTGAGATCACGTTAAAGTCCACTTGCTGGGCCTACACAGGGGTATCAGAGTGTAGGTGTTCCTTGATGGTTAGATTTGACTGAGATAATATTAGTCCTAGCAAAAAAATCAGAGCCCTTTAAACTTGACAAAATCGTCCTAGGCCTACATGTCGGTTTTCCCAAATCAGTGCTAAACACGTCAGTCAATGCCATCAATTCCTTGGTGTTTTCAACTTAAGTAGGCCTACATGTGTGCGCTTGACGACTGAGGCATAAACTAATAATAATAATTATAATAATAATAATTTATTAAATCTAAATTGTTGTCCTCTTTTTTTTAAACACTTTTCGTCCATTGTATTTAAGCTGTCGAATCTCAGAAGTATATTAATAATTGAAGACTTATAGCCGTGTGTCGGGGGATCTTCAAACTGCATTTTACCAGTTTACTTGGCAACGTTGCCATCAGAAAACCAGTAATCATATAAATAGTAATGTCAAATGCATACCTTACGGCATGGGGCCAAGTTTAGCATATAGAAAACATTTGTTAATTAGATTTAACCAATGAGCGTGGTTTGACAGTATAAATTAAATACAATCGTCAACTTAGATAAAATGAATTTTTTTCCGGAGTGTCAACCAACGTGTTATTAATAGCTAATATGTGAGGTCCCTCACCTTAGTAATAAATAAACAAGAGAGGTATGGCTTAGCGGAAAATCCATTTTGGTATGTAAAAAAGTGCTAAAAATAACACATATTTTTAATTAGCGCACAAAAAAAAAATACATATTGTGTTTCTTGTTTTAACTTTCTCAATAGGAAAATTCAGTGTCCGAACCAATAAAGAGAAAGCTGTCTGTCAAACACCCTCCTCCCGCCCCCTCCCAAACCGGGGCTTCCATCCGGATATATGTATAATATCTTAGCTATGCCACCACTAGCTAAAAAAAGAATTTAATTTTCCCAGTAACACTCAGTTGTAGTGAACTTTGGGCAAAGGTTTTGTCAATAGCTTCCGACCTTTTTATCTCCAGCACTACTTTAATAACAGCTAGGTCTAATCACACCTCTTTACCGGACCATCTTAAAGGGCTGCAAGATTAAGGAGATGAAATGAACCAATTGGTGTTTTATCTTTCTTGGCGTTCCATCAAAACTGTCAGGTATTTGTTTTGAAAGCTAAGTAGCTACCAAGTAGACTATCCCCCCCTTCGGTTATCAACGAACGTAAACGAAATTTACCCCACCACGTGCCAAGCGCGACAGAAAATTGGAAGTCCTCGGTACGGCAAACGGCGCCTCGTACTTATGTGGACATGTCAACGCTTTAACTCATTGTTTTCTATTATATTTCCAAAAAGAAAAATATTTGTCTTGCATATACAGGTCTCCTCCAATTAAAGACCACATTTGGGACCGGGATTTCCATGGTCTTTAGCAGCTTTGGACTCTAATTAGAATGATAAAGATAAAAGACATTTGTTAATTTGGGACTACAGAAAAGCGGTCTTTAATTGAAGATGGTCTTTCATTGGAGGAGTCTGATGAATACCCTTTGGAAAACAAATAGTGAGACAGGCTTAATTGCAAGCAATGCGATTTAATATGTTAATTTTGGCGTACGGGAGAAAAAAAAATAAAACTAAAAAAAAAAAAAAATTTTCTGCGCCCGCCCCTCCAATACAATTTTCAGCGTTAAAGGGCAAACAAAACACTATTTAGGCCTTATGCCTTTTTATGCACAAAATTAGTTTTTGAAAAATGGGCCCAGGTTTCTCATATTTTGCGTAAAATAGGTCAACTTTTTTAAAAATGGGTCCAGATTTTTCATGTTTTTGCGTAAAATGTGTCAACTTTCAAGAAAATGGGTCTACATTATTACTACAGTAAAGTCGCTCCACCCTGATGTCCAGCACTGTTAAAATCGTGGCAACGGCATTGCGTGCATGTCTCACAAACGTGCGTAAAGGTAGTCTTTTTGTGTGACCTTCTATAGCAACAATATCCAAGCGTCTTACTTAAATATGGTATACAAATTAAGGAATTTAAATACGGAATTGAATTTTTCTTTTTTTATTTGCTCATGACAGCCATTACATCTATTGTTTTCTCTTTTGTGGCGAACCACCACTTTTATTCATTCATTTATCAACCAAAAGCTCAGATAAAATATAAAAAAACCTGTCGATTTTTTCTTGAAATTTGTGCCATCATTTATATATATATATATAT